CAGCAACTTGGTTCTGCGGAGATTCTGAGAACTGATGACTGAAGACCTCCCACATTTAGGGAAAGGTATACATGCACAGATTCAAGAAACTCACTGAGTGAGACAAACTCCATTCGCTAACCCACAAAAAACTAATGACTAACTAATACGCATCGACATATTGCAAACAATCTGGAAAAATCTTGAATGAAGGAGGAAAAAATGAGGTAATGGAGGTAGGGAGACAATCAGCTGAGTGACAGCAGATTTCACAGCAGAGACCACATCAGAGAAAAGGGAGTGGCAAAACATTTACAGTGGGAAGACTACTGTCAAGACAGAATGTCATATTCAATAAAAATATTTTCTGAAAATGAAGTGAAATAAAAAAAACACTGTAAGGGCTGGTGAGATGGCTCAGAGGTTAAGAGCACTCACTGCTCTTCCAGAGATCCCGAGTTCAATTCCCAGCAACCACATGGTGGCTCACAACCATCCGTTATGAGATCTGGTGCCCTCTTCTGGTGTGGAGATATACATGGAAGCAGAATGTTGTATACATAATAATAAATAAATAAAATCTTTTTTTAAAAACTCACTCTTTAAAAAAAAAAACACTGTAAAATAAAAGAGAACTAACAAAACCCACTATGATATTGAATCTCTAAGACAAGTACTTAAGTTTTCCTTAGACTAAAAAAAGATGATAATAAACAGTAACTTAGGTCTTCAAGATAAAGAAGCTGAAAATGGTGTGGTCTAGGTAATTATAAAAGATTTGCCTTAATAAATTTTAAAATTATGCATAGCTGTTGAAAGAAAAATGTCTGATGGCCTTTTATATATATACACATATATAGTATGAGTGTACATATATGAATGTATATCTATGTGTGTGTCAATTATGATATAATAATGGGAGAAAAATGACTTATGTCCTAGGAAGGATTTTTTATTTTTGAGATTATAATACAATTACATTATTTCTCCCCCTTTTATCCCTCCCTCTAAATCTTCCCATATATCCCCTTGGTTCTCTTGCAATTCATTACCTCTCTTTTCTTAATTGTTATTGCATGTGTTTACATTCAAGCATATAAATATACATATTCCTAAATAAACCTGCTCAGTCTACATCATGTTGCTTATATGCATGTTTTCAGGGATGATCATTGGTATTAGATAACTAATTGGCATGCTCTTCCCTGGAAAAGATTGTCTCCTGCTCTCAGCAGTCCTTAGTTGTCTGTGGTTCTCTACTCCCCATTCACTTCAGCATGTCTATTGTTGTTCTTGTTCCAGCTCACACTTGGGCACTTACATTGGTGAGACTATATGGGTTGTAATGTATGCCATTACAAGGGGACACCGTCTCATAGAAAATCCACAATCCTCTGACTCTTAGAATCTTTCAGCCCCTCTTCTGCAATGTTCCCTGAGCTTAAAGTGAGGAGGTGTTTTGTAGATAGATCCATAAACTGAGCTTCACAATTCAGCATTTTGATTGGTGTGGTTTTCTCTAATGGTCCTTACTGGGGTGAGGACTCCTTGTAAGGTTTTATACTTTTCTTGATAAAGTTAATAACAACATTAAGATATATCTGTATATCACTAAAATAATGGAAAGAGATATATAAAAAGCCATTTGACAAATTAAAATGTAATGCTGAAATAAATTCATATAATTAAACAGAATCACAAACAGAAGAAACAAATATTTCTAGAATGATAGAAAAATGCAAGCCTATCAGCAATTATTAATTATAAATGGCCTAATTACTTAATTAAAAAACAGAGACTATGAAAATGCATAAAGGAAAACTAAACCATTCCTTTCTAGAAGAAACTCACAGTAAATATAAAACATAGGTAGGTAAAAAGAAAAAGATTGAAAAAGACATGCCTTGAACTGAAGTGATAAAATAATCATGTACTGGACAGAATTTTGGAGGCATATATTTAGTGGTCTCAAGTGAATAGACCACAGAAATCACTCCTATCTTAGAACCTCTGGACCCTCAGAACATACTGCCTCTGTCTCACATCCAGCTGCTAAATATCTGAGGAAATATAAAATCACTATGGTTTGGAAAAGGTCAGTTCCCACATACCCACCCACACCTTACCAGAAGAGCTTTTGTTAAGGTAACCAGTGACCTCCCCAAGTCAAGTCTAAAGGATATTTTCAACATCTGTTCTACTGTACTTCCAAAGCACATGACACTACTGACTACAGATTCTTCTTGCAATATATTGTCCCAATAGTATATTTTTGGTTTTTCTTCACAGCCTCCTTTATAACTCGAGAATTATAAGTTGAATATTCCAAGTTTTATACTCAAGTATTTTTAGAATGAACTTTAAGAATGTGTTAATGAAAAAAAGAGGACGATGGGCCTAAGAAAGAGCAGAGAGCTCAGATTTTGAAATATACCGATGCTGTTGTAGACAGAAAAGTACACACTCAAGCTACAGTACAAAGCAGAACAAAATGATGACACTGAAAGTGTCAGGATAGCAAATAATGCTCCTGAGGTGAGCAATCAATTTGCTATCTGGATAAAGGTTATTAAACTAATTGCACGCACGCACGCACGCACACCGCCCATTTACTCACTAAATACATGGCAAAGCCTAAAGCATTTGAACATTTCTCAGTGATTTCACAATGTCTGTGCGAGGAAGTAGTACCATCATCCTCATTTGCAGTTGAAAACCTAAGATCCAAATCCCATTGTTAGCAATGGATAGAACTAGAATCTATCTATGTACCAGATGCGGCTGAGGCAACCAACCCTTCTAACACGGATGTGACTTAAAATCCAAAAGCTGATTACTAATCTAAGGACAACAAGGAAGCAGTTTAGGAATTGCATTTATAAAATGAATCATTAAACTAGCAAAATAGCCACCTATGTCTAGATTTCTAACTATAAAAATGAGACCCTATGTAATCAAAACATTGCATTTTCAAAAGTAACAGAAATGCTCTTACTATGTGGGTTATAATTTATTTATAACTATAATTTTCTGTTATAAAGAATCATGTTAATTGTTATAATGTATAAGTAGCATTTCAAATGAATACACACTCAAAGCTCATTCTTTTAACCCATCAAACACTATTGCCTCTTATCCACATCAGACAAAGTCTAAGGTTTGCTCTTCTCCCTCCCTCAAAGTTCTTCAGAGGTTCAAATTAGAAAGATCACATGCAAATGCCTTGACAAAAAAATCACTATGAAGATTTGTCACTATTTTAGAAATAGTGATGCTCAACAAACACATAATAAGCAAAGAGCGCACATACAAAGACACCGAACTTTCCAGGATGATTTCACATCACCAAGACGAGTCCTCACAGAGTATGCTCCTTGAGAACCATTCGAGAATGGACACATCTCATGTGTGAGGAGATGACAGGGTGTGTTCAGACCAGAAAGGCAGTTTTGGTATAACAGTAAGTAAAATCTCATCAAAAAAAGAAACTGGCTAAAAAAAACTAACAATTAGAGAAAAAATTTCTGTTCATCAAGTTTTGCCTTTCTTAAAATACAAGCAATTAGTTTTATGTGACTTATAGTAACAAACAACAAGGATTGGTACAACCCAACCCAGTTAACATAATCTAAACAGTACAATACAATACTAACAAATGAGATCAGAGAATAAACAGGAAGAAAGGTAAATATGTAACGTCAAATGTTCAAATATGCAGTGCTCTTTAATCTTAATCTCTCTTAGTAGAGGTCAAAGGATCATTATACTCTCATTAAAAATCTAATAAAGGAATATAAAATTGCACTGACACCCTGGGTCCCAAGTAACTGGCTTTTGATATTTATTAGATAAATTCCTAATATTTGTCTTCATAAATATTAGGTATCAGCTGCGGTCAGACTGCTCTTGGCCCAGGGTGTCTTTGTGGCAATGGCAAAAACCTCAAAAGTGCTTGTATTTGTAGAGCTTATCTAGGGTTCAACTGAGGGCAGGGAGCAAACTGACAATAAGCACATACATAAAATAACCCCATAGGTCAGTGGAGGACAGGAGCTGTGGCAAAAATAGTAAAGCAAAGAAGGTAGAAATGTGGGGCAAAGAGAGGCAGGGAAGAGTGAGACAAGGAGGGAGGGGTTGGCTGGTGGCTGCAGTTCCAAACACCACAGTCCCAAAGGTGTCACTGAACTGCTGGCGGTGGAGTTGAAACCAGAAGGAAAAAGCAGAGCCAAACCACAATTCTTACCCACGTAAGGTCAGCCACTTTCACTCCTGTGCTATTAACTGTCATCATTTAAAACCTGTAGTTTTTACATAGAAGTCACCCCCATGCATTATAACCAAATCAAAAAAGGACAATGTACACTAACAACCTTCTGAATGTTTGTTACATTCCACGACATCACGAATATATCATTTTATAAAATTCCCCAAATGCATATCTCAAATGTAGATTTTTTTATTTTTAGTTTTAAATTAGCCCAAATATCATCATGGCTAAAATTTTAAGACATAAAATGAGTGCTGAAACAGAATTTTAATCATATAGATGAATCACAACACGCATCTTTAGCTAGGCATGTATTATGAATAAGTCTAGTTTTCTACAGAGAATAATCACATGTTCTAATTACCATTTTGGTTATACACATAATTAATAATATTCTGTCTTAATGGGACACACTGAATCTTCAGACAGTTATAAGCTTTAACTATGCATACTGCCAAACCCAAATGTCAGCGCACTGCCTAACAAAGGAGTCCTGATGTAATATTTGAGCGTGATAACAATATGCATGTCTCTGATACAGTGCAAAAATTAATTGCTTTTTTCTCTCTAACATTCCTCCATACTAATTTTATGTTATTTGATTAATCACTTATCCTAAATTACACACACACACACACACACACACACACACACACACACAGCTATAGCCAAATGATCTTATGAACAATAAAAACATAAATAAACACGTGACCCAAGACCCAAAGAATACGAAACCATTATGGCCAGAACTTACTGATTGTAAACTTTCATTCTCTCTTAGACAAGCTGTGTGGAGCTCAGATTTCAGAGTCTCAATGTGATTTCGGTGTGATGTCATTTCCTTCTCTAACGTGGAGATTCTGGCACTTGCAAGCTGGTAGACATCCATGAAACTTTTAATCATGGCCTTGAGAAATAAAAGTAATGTCACTTATAATCCAAATAAAGTTGTCGCCAAAGCAGATTTACTGTCATTTGAAAGCAAAATCATTAAAATTTAAAAAACAACTTTTATAGTTTCTAGAAAATAAAGATAAACCTCGCATTTTATATTGAAAATAGTCACTAAGAAAGCTTTGGGATGGGAAGGGAAGAAAACTCAGTGGGGAAAGTGCTTGCTGGGCAAGTGCAAGAAGCAGAGTTCATTCCATGTAAAAGGTTAGGCCTAGTGGTACACACTGATAACCCCAGTGTGGGAAGACACAGCAGGATTCATGGGGATCACTGGCCACCAACCTACTGAACACTCAAAAAACAAGGTGAATGGCCCCGAAGAAACAAGACTGGCCATCACATGTGCACATACACACTTGCACACAGAGATGTAGACATGTTCAGAGAGATAAAAGTTGGGTGGGGGAATAATTGATCCTTTATTCCAGAGGATTATTTACTTTGATCTATTGAGGAGATGTACTTTGATCTATTGTGCTTAAAATTTAGAACACAGGTTTTAAATACGGCACACTTACATTCTGCACTAAAATTAAATTCAGGTTATAATTTGACCTAAATTTTCATCTTATAAGAGACAACACATGGGTATATGAATTACATATTAATATTTCATTATGAGCTGGATTAGTAAAACTTCCAGTCTACGTAACAAATGTTTTGAAACAAAAGAGCTCAAATAATCCTGTGACTAATTGCTGATTGCTCTACTGAGAGGAAAGTGTCATTGTGTCCTCAGATACAATCTGCATCATAATAATAATACAAGCAGGTGCAGGCTAACTTACCATCTTCACAAAATTGTACAGACTGGGGGTTTGCTGAGCTCTGCAAATAGCTAAACCATATTCTATAGACTTTTCCTTAAAGAAACCTTCTGAGAATTTTAACCCAAAAGACCCTATTATACCCTCTTCAACTTATCTTACAAAGTGCTTCAAGTACATCAACATTAATTCAAACATTTCAAAGATATGTGCAAAAATAGTACTTTTGAAGGAAATGTTCCTACTACAGACATCACACAACGAAAGACAGAGTCTAAGAGTGTGCAAATTACATTCAGTCTGATGGTCAGAACTGAAAAAGCCTTGAGAGACCAGCTATTTATCTTACCAATTCTGAATGCATGTGGAAAATAATTCAGTGAACAAGTAAGAAATAGTGTTCAGTGTCTGAGAAGCAGAAGTAGGCTAGTTACTAGAAAATTCAGGGGTTTCCCCTAATAAATTCCTATTTGCCCTCAAACATCCTTCTCAGACAGCAGCTCTTTCAAGAACCATCTACAAAGCCCAAAAACAGTAGTTAGCTTCTGTCCTCGATCCCTGTGGGCTGCTCACACCAGCTTTGATTGTCGCATTCATTGGAGGCATTTATTATGTTACATGTTTTTCTTCTTAACCAGACAAGCAGTTCGTGAATCCAGGCTCTATGTCTACACATGTCTGAATCCCTGAGAGAGTAGCCCACAGTGAGTATTTGAATAAATGTGTGAAGTAACAACTTTTGAAGAATGCATTAATTAAAAATTAGAAGAGATGAAAAACCACAATCTACCTATTGGTATAAATTACCTTATAGAAAAGAATAAAGATACTTGGAAAATATCATCTTAATGTCTGATCTAATGAATAAATTATTAATCACATTTTTCTCAATATGGAGGGAAAAAAGCATAGCTATAGGTATAAAAGAAAATACCTAAATGTAAATTCTCTGCCCAACAGTAAATCATGATTACAACCTGGGGTGTGGGTAGATATCCCATGTCCTAGCCTACCCCACCTTGAGTCATTTTAAAGAAAGTTTGTATCTAATACAAACAAGGTATTTTCTGAGGGGTCAAAAGTATGTAAAACTCAGACACAAGTGAGGCTGGAGATATACTTCAGTGGTAGAGTGTGTGAGGTGTGCATTTATCCCTGAGGTGGCAAAACATCCAATTGTATCTGTTTCTTCCTAGATCCAATCTCTCTTCATTGTTTTTAAATTCACTTCTCTTCTCCAGTGAGATGCTAAATCCACCCAGTTCTTTTTCTGTTACATACACAGCACTGTAGCACTGTGTTCTCAGGAAATACCACACAATCTCCAGGGCCTTCATCTCCTCCCTTGCTACATAAAATAGGAATAAAAGTTACTTTCTTGTCAACTTCCAAAACTGTTGTGAGACTCAGACATCTAAAATACATGGTGTTTATTAGTTATTCACTACAGTCAGGAACTGTAGTATAAGCTTCATTACATCTCTCTATAGTAATCACATAGCACAAATATTGTCTTTAACTCTTCAGGACAAAGCAGAAGAATGTTATCAAGCTAGCAGTGTGGCAACAAGATTCAAACCAAGGAATATGTAAAGCAAAGCTTTTCCTCTAACCTACTAATTGTATTGTTTCTCTTATAAGAAAGATTACTAAAGTGATAAACTTCTGAACCTCACTGTAATACTAAAGTTCTATTTTAACTTCTGCAGTGAAATCCTAATGACATAACCTTTGATAAGTAATTCACAAATGTGTGTATATACACACATATAAAGTACACATGAATATATTCTTGCCACATAAGGATCTAAAATGTATAAATGACAGCAAACATTCATAACTGCTTACTGAATGAAAATGGGGATTATTCTTCAATCAGAAAAATGCTCTTAGATTATCATTTCAATGAAAAGTCACAAAAGTCACAGCCTTTAATATTTTGAGATGAAACAGTTCAATATTTTAAGAGCAATCCTGCTCCCTAAATTTGTAGAAAGTATTTCCTGAACTCTTGGATGTAAAAGGAATAGATAATAAGAAATCCTTCAAAGCTTGTTTTGAAAACATAAACCATATAAGGACTTAGAAAATAGTTCTCCCAGCTTGCATAAGGTCCTGGGTTTGACACAATACCTCAAATAAACCAAACTGTGAAATACAGGGTGCCAGTGAAAATCCAGTTCCTTGACAAGGAGAAAGGCACCCCTTGGTATAAGTCATAAAAATACTGATCTGAACTAACTAGGGGTGTGTGGGGGGGAACAGGAACAAGCATCTCATGACCAATCCTCTGAAGCTGACACTCTCACTACACACCCTGTTCAGGTATCGAGTCACCACTGTTTCACAGTCAGGACAGAACAGCATGAGACCATATGCAGCATGCCCAGAATCTGAGTGCCCTACGCCATCTTTCACCCCAGGGACTTAGCATATACCCTGTAATGAAGTCTGTGCCTCAGAGGGGTTCACATAGCTACCTAAAAATGGGGGGAGGCATTCTGAACCAAAAAAGGATTTAAAAAATTGAGATAAAATGTAGTATTAACAATTGCCGTTAGCAAGGTGAGAGAAGCAAGACTTATACTGCCCGTCTCCATCACTTTTCAACTGCTGTGATAATGACCAGAAGCAGCACCCTTCACAATAACCACAGTTAACATAAAATATGTTGGTCTAACTCTACCCAAGCAAGTGAAAGACCTGTATCACAAGAACTTCAATTCTTAGAAGAAAGAAATTGGAGAAGATACCAGAAGATGGAAAGATCTCCCATACTCATGGATTAGAAGGATGAACATTGTAAATAATGGCCATCTTACCAAAAAGCAATCTACAGATTCAACACAATCCCCATCAAAATCTCAACACAATTCTTTACAGACCTTGAAAGAACAATACTCAACTTCATAAGGAAAAAAAACTCAGGATAGCTAAAACAATCCTGTAAAATAAAAGAATTTCCAGAGCTATCACCAGTCCTTATTTCAAGCTCTATTATAGAGCTATAATAATAAAAACTTCATAGTGTTGGCATAAAAACAGACAGGTGGATCAATGAAAGCAAATTGAAGAGCCAAACATAAATCCACATACCCATGGATACCTGAACTTCGACCAAGAAGCCAAAATTATACAATTGAAAAAAGAAGGCATCTTTAACAAATGGTGCTGGTCTAACTGGATATCAAAATGTAGAAGAATGGAAATAGATCCACACTACAGAGGGGGAGGGTTGTAGGAATCAGAGGGGTTAAGGACATACCAAAAAAACTATCAGAATCAACTAACCTGAGCTCAAAGGGTCTCACAGAGACTGAACCAACAACAAGGGAGTCTGCATGGGACTGATTTAGACCTTCTGCATAAGTGTGACAGTTGTATAGCTTGGTCTTCTTGTGGGACTCCTAAGAGTGGGGACAGGGGCTGTCTCTGATTCTTTTGCCAGCTTTTGGAATCTATTCCTCATACTGGTTTGATTTGTCCAGCCTTAATACAAGTGAGGTACCTAGTCTCACTGTACTTAATATGTCATGTTTGGTTAATATCCATGGGAGGCTTGCCCTTTTCTGAATAAAAATGGAGGAGTGGATTGGGGGATAGAGAGGAAGTGGGGGAGGGACTAGGAAGAAAGGAGGGAGGGGAAACTACAGTCAGGATGTAAATAACAGTATTAATCCTCTTCATCATTTTAAAAAGAATTAAAGATGATACTAAAAAATGGAAGTACTTCCCATGCTCATGGTTTGTATGATTAATATGGCCACCCTACGAAAAGCAATCTAAGTATTCAATGCAATGCCCATAAAAATTCCAATGCAATTCTTCACAGAAATTGGGAAAATAATCTTAAATTTCCTAGGTAAACACAAGAAAACCAAGATTTCCAAAACAATTCTGTAAAATAAAAGAATCACCAGGATTATCACCATGTCTTATTTTAAGTTATACAACAGAGCTATAGCAATAAAAATTGCACAACACTGGCATAAAAAACAGACACACTGACCAATGGAATGTAATTGAGAACCTGGATAAGATCCATACTTACCATAATCATTAGCCGTTAGAGACATGCAAAGCAGACTCAAAATAAGGAGTCGACATATCTACATATATTTAGAAACTGACATCTATGAGTATAGCTAGAAAGAAATCTGGCTATGACCTCAAAGGCTGATGAGAA